CCTGACCCCCCCCCCCCACCCCCCTCAGCCCCAGACTGACGCGCCAATGACTTTCCCATTCGATCCCACTTGACCTCACCTCGACTCCATGAGCGACGACACGCCGACGCCGACGCCGACGCCCCACCTCGACGAGGCGGCTGTGACTGAAGTGCAGCAAGCAGAGGGTACGCCTACCCTTCTTTCATCTTTCACCTTCCTTCTTCCCACTCCCTGCTCACTCACCCCGTATGTACGCGGACTTGCCGGGTGGTAGGAGTCGAGCCCGAGCTGGTGGCCTGGATGCGGGAGCAGGTTGCGAACGAGGTGGCGAGGGTGAAGGAGGAGCATGGACAGGCTGTGCTCCCGCTCAAGGTCAAGAACTTTGCCATCATCCGCAAGTCGTCGACCAAGGTTGTCAATCGCATCGAGTTTGATACGGCGTGGGACTTTGATAATGTGACTCAGATCCTCGTCTCGGAGCCCATCGATGTCCCGCCAGCACTCAAGCCCAAGGCCAAGTACATCCAGCTTGTCCTCCTCTGCGACAAGCCGCTCCCGCTCCTTGCTCCCTACATCTACTCTACCTCGCACAAGAACAACGATCTGCATCACTGGCTCTTCATCAACAACAAGCTCAAGCACTCGATGCACGAGGTCGAGGCCTACGTCTGAGCCACCTTGCCTATCGGCCCTCCCCGGCCATAGCAGAGCTCTCTCGCCCGCCCAATCACCCGCTCACCAGCCGAGCTGCTGCGCCGCCCCGTTCCGTGGCCCACGACCTTTTTTCCTGGCCCACCCCGCCCGGTCGCCGCCACACCTCTCATCCCCACCGCACCCATCATGGACGACGATACGAACCGCAAGCGGAGCCGCGACGGTGAAGTCACGTCTACTAGCGACGACGACAACCTCAGCATGGCGGCTGGTCACAGGAGCAAGCGTGGCAAGCTGCTCTCGCCTCCCCGTCGCGCCCTCCGGCTGGCGAGTTGGGCCTTGAAGACCTTTTGCGTGATCCGGCGAGTGATCAACCACTCGCGCCGGCCCCCCCGCCATGCCGCCGGTTGGCGATCCTGTGGCCCTAGCCAGCGAGTGTACGTGCTAGGGGGACGAAGACGGGGAGGGGGTGCAGCTATTTGCCTCTCACTCACCCTGATGTGGTGCCTCGCCGTTCTGCTCCTGCGTTAGTCGACGGCATCACCGACGACATCTTTCGCCTCTCGCGCCAAGTCGACCAAGTGGCCAGCGACGACGCGGCGTCGCTTGATCTTCTCGCCAGCGTCTTCAACGTGGCCGGTGGCGACAAGACCGAGGCCGGCGCCTTCTTTGGCGCTTTTGCCCATGCTGCCGCTACCGCCCTCGACGCGTTTCACGCCAAGACCCAATCGCTCATGACCGAACTCGCCGAGCGCCACGCCCGAGCCAAGGAGCTCCACGACGAGATCGCCGCCATCACAGGCAACCTGCGGTCGATGATGGCTGTGCTCGGGCCAGCGGCCTCTAGCGCGCTTGCGCTCGGGGCGCAGCCGTCCGCACCGCCAGCTAACGTGGCAGGCCCGTCTGCAGCTGTCCCGCCCGTCCCGCCCGCCGAGCCTGCCGGCAAGCCGCTCGGGGAGGGCTTGACCACCCTCGAGTTTGCGCTCTCGTTCTAGGCGAGAGTGCTTTTTTGTTTACACTTTCAGCCGGCGCTGGACAATGCCGAGGCAGAGGCGGATCTCGGCGATGAGGTCCATCGGCATGTTTTCGGCCTCGACGTCCTTGAGCAGCACCTTGAGGTTAGATGCAGCGAGCCGGAGCTGGTCCGAGTTAAGAGCGCCGAGAGTCATCTGCTTGTACGAAGCACGGTACTTGCAGAGCTTGTTGTACAGCAGCCGGGTCTGCGGGTTGCGGAGCACGTTGGTAAACGCCGAGTTGATCCGCTGCAGCTGCTCGGTCGCCGACGCGCGCGCGGTGTCGTCCTTTTGGTGGTCCGGGTGGTACTTTTGGGTCAGCTCGCGCCGCGCCTTGGCAATCGCCGCCAGCGGCGCCCGCGGATCGCCGATGCCAAACAGCGCGTAGTAGTCGTTGTGCCGCGAGTGCGCCGCCAGTGACCGGATCATGGCCACAAGCTCCGGGTCGTGCGCCGACGACGGCGCGGCGCCGCCCCGGGCCACGGGGGGGGCCCCCCCGCCGGGGCCCCGCGACCCGGCCCTCGCTCGCGCCTTGTTCTCGTTTTTCTTCGATTTGGCCTTTGGTTTTCCCCTTGGGCCTTGGTTTTC